AGCAGCGCTGGCCAGGGAGATCAGGAAGAGGAATGGGCTGGTGGGAAACAGAACTGGGGAAGGTGCAGGGAGGCTGGCTGGAGAAGATCAGGTGAGGAAGTGGGGGATAACAGGCCAGGAAGGGTTCGTGACCAAATTGCCCGGCGGGTAGCGGGACTGACCTGGGCACTTGCTGCCTGTCCCGTGCAGGCTCCCAGCAATGCACGAGCGAGGAGGAGGCTTCTCCTCCTCCTCCTCACACTCAACCAGCTGAGGACTCCTGGCAGCAATTGCAGCCCTGCCTCCCAGCTGGGACTTTCAGCCACTCCCCCGCCCACGCCAGGCTTCCGTCCGGTGTGCAGCCGGAAAAATCAGAAAATACCGGACACTGCACATGTCCAGTATTTTCTGATTTTTTTTTACTGGACAGAGCGCACACATACCAGATACCTGGCAACCCTAGAGGCACAGGGAGCAGCCCTGTGTGCTGCTAATCCCCCTCCTCCCCCATCACCTCCCTGCAGGAGGAACAGCAGCACACAGGGCTGCTTGCTTTGCCTCTCTCTGCAAGCCGGGTCTGGCGGGAAAGATAAGGTTTTTTTTTCAAATTCCCCTCACTGCCCTCTGAGTGCGAAGCCAGAGCTGGTGCTCCAGCCTCATGACTGCGCAGCGACTGTGAGGCTGGAGCGGCAGCGCTGGCTACCCACTGAGAGCAGGGATGGGAGGGGGGGTTAGGGGAAAGGGCGCCTGAGCTTACCCCCTCCCCACTGTGCTGAGGGAATGGCACAGTGATGTGTCATCTGGAGGCTTTCTCCCACTACTCCCATTAGCTGGCCAATGGGAGCAGCAGGAGGCAGTGCTTACTCCCATCCTGCACCCCCCCCCACACCTTGCTCTTGCTCCCTCCTCCCTGGCCATATACCTTACTCCCATCCTGCTTCTGCACCCTACCTCCCACCCAGATCCTGCACCCCCATCCCTATCTCATTTGCTAGCAGCCCTGTCCTGCACACTGAACCCCTCATTTTTGTCCTCACCCTAGAGCCTAAAGGGGGGAGGGTCTACAAAATTCACTAACTCCAGAACCCTAGAAAAGTAAATCTGGCCTATGGGAAGACCTGAACCTCAGTCCTCCCAGTCCCTCCCTCTCGCCCCATAGGGCTGGAGCACTAGAGGAGTGAGATGTCTCAGTTGAAGACCAAGTCAGTGAGGGTTGGAATTTTTGGGGGCGGTTTTTTACTTCTCACTTGTGTGGTTCCCAACTGATTTTTCTGTGGGTCAGTGGCCCTTGACCCCCCAAAAAGATTTCCCACCCCTGCCATAAATCAAGAAAACAATTACACCTTTTGTGTTGGACATAAATTAATATTTTACTTTAAAATGACGTTTGATAAAGTAACAAAAAAAGTTAAAACACTGTATCTGTTTAATAATTTAAATTAAACCATTGTCCTTAGATGCAGCACTATCTAAATGGCTTGGGCATAATTATGTAATTAGCAGTGAGTTTCCATTAGCAACTGGTGATCTGTGGAAAGGTTTGCATTTAGCCACGTGGGCCATGTGCCAAAAAGTTTGAAAACCACCGCTTTGACGTGATGAGGAGAATCTTAAAAAATGTGGTGGAATAGCTCAGTGGCACACAACCCATGGGTCGCAACCCCCGAGGGGGTTGCAGTTGTCTTCCCAGGGGGTCAAGGTGCTTAGATCCAGCCCGTCAGGGGCTGGGTCTGGCTGTTGGCAGCCGTGTGGTGCGGTGCTTAGATCCCAGGAGCTGGGCACTTAGATCTGGCTGGCTGGTGCTTGGTCACAGCCGTTGGCGGCCCCCGCAGTGCGGTGGTCACAGATCAGAAAAGGTTGCACACCACTGGTGTAGCTAAAATGTAGGAACATGGTGAACATGAAATTGTTTAGTAACCATGATAACTGTACATTATTATTTCCCCCCAATCTTTCTTCATATGTCTTTACTTGGGTTTTGAATAGTAAACTGGTTAAGCCACTTCCCGTTCACCTCCCTTTTAATCGGCTAACCAGTTAAACATTACATTTAACTAGTTAACTAACTGAACAGGATTTTACATTCCTAGTCTTTACCCATGTTTAGGATTGCCCATTTTTTATTATGCTTTTCTAGTCACTGGCTATTACTTTTCTTATCCCTCTCTAATGCTCACTGTTTTAACAGTCCACAAGACTAGTTTTTACCATCACAGAGAAAAAGTATGATTGACTAATTGTCTCCAGAAGTAGCACTGCACATTTGATTAACAAGTATAAAGCTTTCTGTACCAGGTCTAAAGGATCAGGTAATGACTATTGATTTAGGAAACAAAGCCTCAACATACAAAAAGTCTGAGCAAACAATCTAGTTCTGTGCTCTTTTAAATACAGGCAGTCCCCGGGTTACGTACAAGATAGGGACTGTAGGTTTGTTCTTAAGTTGAATTTGTACGTAAGTCGGAACTGGCGTCCAGATTCAGCCGCTGCTGAAACTGACCAGTGGCTGACTACAGGAAGCCCGAGGCAGAGTTTC